GAATTGGACTTAGTTATCCTTAAGGGTTCCTTCCAACTTAGCTGTGATTCTGTGAGATTCTGTGATTCATGTGAGGAAAGGCCAAAGAATTGAGTTTGTTCAGCCTGGTGAAGAGAAGGAGTGTCCTAATTGCAGCCATCTTGTACCTGAAGGGAGCCTGTGAGAAAGATGAAGAGGGACTGTTTGCAAGAGTATATAGTGACAGGACAAGGGAGAATGGCTTGAAACTGAGGGTAGCCTTAGATTAGATATTTGAAAAACTTCTGTACTCTGGAAGTGGATAGATGCTGGAACAGGTTTCCCATAGAAATTTCCCCTTGTGTGGAAATTGCCCCATCCAAGACCAAGGCTGCATGGGGCATTGAGCTACCTGATCTAGTGGAAAGTATCCCTGCCATGGCAGGAGGGTTGAAACTACATCATTCTTAAAGTCCTTTTAAACAGATTCCATTCTATGATTCTGTGATTGTGTGGGCCAGGGGAGAATAACATGGATTAGGCAAAAGAATTTATCACCTGGGTCAGAAACAATAAGTATCTCTTTATTTTAAGACATGTTCAAAATATATTTTAATTTTTTTTTCTCAGTTATGTATGTCACTGGGAGCTTTTCTTTTGAACGTCAAGCCATCTATTTGGTACTTTACACAGCTTTAGTCTGTCAGCTTCAAGCACTGTCTCCCAAAAGGTCTTGGCCCAGGTTGTTAAAGGGACTGCCTTAGAGCTGGATTATTAGAATATTTTATGTAATTTTTCCCCCCTCAAATAATCTCATGCAGCAGCTTGCATTGTCTGAAAACAGAGCAAGCAAAATTTTGCTCTTCATATCTTCCATTGAGCTATCTAAATGCAGGTATTTTTGAGTTACAAATAATATTGTGCAATACTGTGTATTTTTCTTAAAATTAAATTAAAAGATATTATGAGGTTCCTGGAATTCTTTGTATATGCTGCTGCTCCCATGTTTGGGACTCTGCTGTCTGGCAGTAGCATCCCTTCATTATGTTTCCTGTAGGTATGTGCCAATGCTTTAGATCTCAATGTTGTTGGTACTTGTGAAAATTAAATTTTGTACCTGAGACATTGAGTCTCTCTGTCTTCATGTTACTGGACCATGCCTCAGAAATACACTACTAATATGAGTATTGCATTGCAAAACACACAGTTACAAACTTCATTTAGCTTGAAAACCTGGCAGTGGAGAGGCCTCCCCCATCTCCAAAAGCAGGGTGGGAAGACAAAGCAATTTCCAAGCAATGAGGGTCCATCCACAAGGAGCCTGAGGCGTCAGCAGGCCTCCATCACTCCTCTGACCTACTTTTCCCCATCCTTGGGAGTGCCAGCCATCAGTCCTGGACTCGGGAGGACAGCTCTCACCCTGGTATTGCAGGCTCCAAAAACAAATTTCAATTCCAGTATCAGCATGTGGGTCCTTGCAGCTGCCAAACCAATAAGAGTGTGGGTGGGTGAGCAGTTAAAGGTGTTGCTTCAGATCCAGCAAAGTCCTCTGTGCTTTCTGCCAGCAATAACAGGATGGATTGCTGTAAATTACTTCTCAGGTTTAGTTTATATTGTTTATGGTGTAACCAGCCAAAAGGACATATGCTGTGAATCTCTGAACTGTAGAAGAGCACAGGGAAACATACAGAGAGAAAACTGCAAGAGAACTAATGAATTCTTATTTTTGCCACTGAATGTTTGCTCCTGGGAGGAAAAGAAAAGCCAAGAAGAGCATGCAGAGGATGTGGTATGGTTAGCCTAGTCCGACCACAAGCAACTTGGTTTTCTAAATTTCCTTTTGAAACTGTTTTGTTGAAAGTGCCTGTTCGCATATGACTCATTCATTAGGCTGTGAAGCTGTGGGGCCCATTTTACTCTCGTCACTCTAAGTATTGGATGAGACGCTGGGAACTGGGGGTTTTTTTTGCACTCTACCCTTATGTGACTAAAATTCTTATGTTTGTGGAATCAGCCTTAGGGTATGGAGTACCATAGAAAAAATCCTTCTTTATAGTTCATGTGTCTGAGAAACTGTTTTAGCTGCAGTTTGGGCAGCACGGCTGTCTACACACCATATGGTGCAGGGGGCAGGAGTGTAACCAATGTATTTCAGTCCACATTATGCAAGGGCCCCTGCCCCTCCTGCACTTGGAGCCAGCCTTGGTTTCTGTGCTCTGCTTTCGGGCGTCTTGCACAAGGCAGAGAGCAGGGCTGACTGAGCTGATGGTTCCACAAGCCGTTCAGCAGACATTGGCTCTCCTGCATTTTACTCTGCCACGGAAATATTTGGGGCAGACAGGAGGCAAATGTGTAATCTGAGGAGAAGAGGCATGCTGTTCCTGCCCCAGCTGGCAAAGCGCCAGCGTTTCAGGTCTGGGAATGTGCTGGGATTTGTACTCACCCTGGGAAAGAAAGGGAAAAAAGCAAAAGAGAGAAAGAAAAGTGTGTGCTGTCTCAGATCTCACTCAACAAATGAATATTTTTCCTTTTAACTATTTGAATAGATGTTGGTTGCCAAGGACAGAAACCATATGGAGGAAGGAACAGTTAAGGGAATAGGCATAGCTTAGTTCTGTGTTTTCCAAAGCCATCAGAACTCAGATGCTCAGGCCATGATGCAGTGTCAGTCATATGTGATGTTAATATGTCAGGAAGTAAGAATGCCTTCACAGAGAGAACTTCCCTTCTGCTCTCAATGCAGCTACAATGGTTGTACCATTGTACAAGAAAGGTGTTTTGGGGACAAACTGGCTTCTGTGCTCTTTCAGCCACGTCCCTGCTTGTTATAAAGAGAACTCAGAAATGTAGGCCCTTAAGTTTTGTGACTCCACCTCTACATCAATAAATACCTTAACAACTGCAGGGGAAATAACAGCTCCACAGGAGGTATGAAGACAGCCCCATCCCTGCTGTTAAAATACTCTCACTGAAGGCACAGTTTGAGGTCATGAGCAGCCACAGAAGCTGCACTTGATTGCCTACCTCCTGGGTAAGTGCTGTAACTGCTGGATCATGAGATGTAGAAGAGCAGTGATCACAGGGGGGGACAACAGAACCTTTCTCCTCCTCATGTTTCTCCTCGTTGCTATCAGAATACATTAGGAATTCTGTTTGGATTGTTTGTTATGTATGGAAGAATCTGCGGAGTAAAGTGTACCTGCAGTCTTTTAAATGTGTTTATATTGTTTGCTTAAGTCATCTTACAGATAGGAGAGGTGTATAGTTAAGTTTTGATTCTGAGTAGTTTCATCTGGGCAAGGAGGTGCTTGGTGCTGAGAAACACCCTGTAACAAAGCTGGATTGCTTGGGAAGATTTCCTGGAGAACATTTAGTGTCTCCTGAGAGAAGCAGCAGCTGGGTAGGGTTTTGAAGGTCTGCCTTACGAATATGGGCATCTACAGCAAAGTGAGTTGAATCTTGGAAAGCCATTTCTTTTGTAGATTTAGCTGTGGTTCCACTAGCAGGAATCCTAGCAGCTGCTGGGTTTTTTTGCTATATTCAGCAAAAAGCTGTAAGAGACCGCAGTTATTCCCTATCATGCACAGCACTGTAGCTGTAGATTTAGTATCTTTCAAAGCAGTGAGTGCAAAATCCACCCAGCCCCAAAACCTCACAGTTTTTTGTTTTCCTAAGGTGTCTTCAAACTATTTTGTATAAGGAATCAGCTGAAAAAAGGTATCAAGTACAGAGGACGTGTGGGCATTTATCACTTGTTATTGTGCTAATAGGATTGATATCTAATCTAATGTAATTCTTTAAAATTTTTTCCAGAGCTGAAAAGTTGGCAGAGACTAGGATGAAAAGGAAATTATTTTCAAAACCTTATTTCCAAAAGCAACAGTACCTTTTTCCCCATGCTCCCTTTCTGTCTTCAGTTCTCAATTTCATCACTACATCTGTCATTCAGAGAAAGGTTCATATTCAGATACTTGATATGAGCACAATTTGGACTCAGTTTCAAAAACTACTAAAACTGCTGACATTTCACTCTTGCTATGAAAGGTGATTTTCATTAGGTGCCCCTCTTTTTAAAGATGGTAAGAGAAAAGGCTGAAACAGAAGCATTGGGAGTTATTGCACTTAACTGTTTTTGTTTACTATCAGTGCTGAATTGTTAATGGAATATAAAACGTTAGGCTTACCACTGCCTGCAATCAGGAAAGCCTTACTGGAGAGCAAGATGACACTTAGGCCACAAGAGTGGCTAAGAACAAAGTCTAAAATGTAAAGACAACACACATGTAATTCATGTTCTTAGTACTTAAGTAAAAACATTTTTTCAGTTGTAATTTGCTTGAAAACTTTGTTACAGTGGGTCAATAACTGTTTTTATCAATGTGTATTGGTAGAACAGCATGACAACTTTTTAAATGCAGATGAATTTTAAATGCTTAAGAAGGTGCTTAAAATCTGTTAGTAGCAAAACTGATTCATTTAAGTGAAAGCTCTCTGTTTCATGGGTTGATATCTAACTTTTATCCTTTTGGCATGGATTTAATATTGACACAGAATTACATTTAAGCCTTTTTATCATGTGTATGATGCACTTAAATCGGGGATATTATCAGTTATATTTTGTGGCTTCTCCAGACCTTTGCAGTGGTAATCTGTTTCCTGCCACCCTCCTTTAGAGACTATGAAAGAAATAACCTCTAGCCTAACTCAAAAGGAAGAAAGTCAAGACTGGAAACAGTGGCAAGGAAGATGCTGCAGATGTGTGCCTGGATCTGGGTTAGTTTCTAGCACCGAATCTGGAGTTTGTCTTTGAGCATCCTGGGTTTCCGAAGCCCGAGGGGCACAGAGTTCTGGCTCCTCTGTCCAGCTGACTGACTTGTCAGGCTGCAACCTGCCAAAAGGCACAAACCCAACAAAGTTGAAAAAGGCAAACTGGTACAGATACATTATCAACACTCAGACAAAATACAAGGGTTGGTTGGTTGGTTGGTTGGTTGGTTGGTTTGTTTGTTTGTTTTTACCTAGTTTTATTTTTCTTCTGAAAGGTTCGTCATCGGTGGTGTGAACTTGTCATTAAACATAAATATGAGCCTGGGTATGGAGACATTGAGAGATTCCTTAGAGAGGATCAGGTAAGTTACATTGAACTAGCATTTTGAAAACAATTAACTTTTTAACACCCTTATGCTGAAATAAAAAAAACCAAAAAGTATATTTTCTTGCTGCAGTTTGTCAAAAACTTGGCTGTGTATTCATATTTGTCTTCTGTGGGTGTCTAAACATTTAGTTTAAGGAAGCCACTTAGGGTAGAGGTACTCAACGCCACCTAAACCTAAAGACCTCTTATCTTCTGTCAAGTGGGGAAATAGGATAGAATTCCTCCTCTCCTTGCATTTTATGCAAGCCAGAGGTATGAGTGATGCTAGGAAGATACTTCTCAGCAGGTTCCTTTTGCAGGATGAGGAAGGTAAGTGTGGCTGTGAATGTCAATGCAAGTATGGAATAGATGCAAAGCAGTCAGTGGTGTGGTAACCTTAGTTTTGAAGATGACAGCCAGAAGTAGTATAGCACATCCAGGGAATGCTAGCCCCTCCATGGATAGGAACATTGTAAGAGAGGATTATGAAGGCATTAAGAGGCTGGACATACATAACTCCCTTACTATGGCCTTACGTTTAGGCCACTGTGAACTTAGAATTCTGATTGCACCGCTGCCTTGTTCTTTTTCTATTTTCCCTTTTATGTATCTTTATATACTATGAGCCCTAGAAAATCGAGACACTCACTGCCTAGAGTGAATTTTAAATACTTAAATATATGTTACAAAATAGAAGATGATGAAGATACATCAAAATCTAGGCAAGATATTAATGTCTTTACCTTTTATGCTGACAACGAACAGAGCTGTTTACAGCCAATGAGGATTTTCTGCTTTCAGGCAACACAGCACAACTGAATTACTGCAGTTTGTCATGAATTCTTCTATCTCAGAAGTATATCTCTTATTTATGTCTGAGCCAATGAACAGGCCCCAGAGCTCTTAGCAAGTTCTGTATTAAAAGAAACAAACAAAAAAGACATAAAATAACATTATTTCATAAAGAGTTACGTGGATTGTGCTGTTTATATTCTGTGAAAGGATGGAGATGACCACCAGCAGAACCTGGGTGTTTGGGGCTCAGGAAACCCTTGAGCTGATAAAACCATACAGAATTATGTCAAGTAAAGACATTTCCTGCAGTGTAGGGAAATAATTTTTTGCAACTTTTTAATGTAATCTCCATTTCATTTACTCCAGCAGTGCATACAGTTAATGGCATGACAAGCTTCTGGTGTGATTAGTACTTAGAGCAGTGGCATGTCTGTACTGATCATGTAACATGGCATTTTTAAAAGTCTGGGGGGAAATGCAAATGGACTGTTTAAATCCTTTGAAGTTCTACAAAACACTAGTGTGTTTACTGCATATAAATATTTAGACCTAGGGGAGAGTTATTAATGCTGAGTAGAGAAAGTACTTCCTATAGTAAGAAAATGTCACCATTTGAAAAATTCTCAATGAGAGCCCAGCTCCATTTGCGTGGCTGTCAGACCTTGGTGCAGCTGCAGACCTTGGAAATCTGAGGTTTTGGTTCTCTTGGTGTCACAGTGTGCTTAGGGAATTGGCAAGGAGTCTGGCAGGTTCCTGCCTTCCTGACACTCTGGGACTTTCTCCTTTTACTTCTGTCATTTTTAAATTTTAAATGTCTCTTCTGGCTGAAGAGGTTTTTAAGGCTTACCAGCCAATGCTAGAACTAGCGTTAAAAATTATTTTTTCTCAATGCTGTCCAAATTTTTCCGCTCCTGCCAGTCCAAACAGTACCTGTAAAAGTCAGTGTGCTAAGCTGCTAATATTTTGTAACATATGCAAACCTGTTTTGGTAAGTGCAGTTTAACATTAACTGAATTCCTGTAATTAGCTGAAAAAAATGTATCATCAGAAAAAAAGGACAATGTCCTATAAATTTCCTGTTAAGTTAGGCAGAGCTTTGTTGGCAGTGGTCAAAGGGGCCCAGATCTCCTCACAAGAGCCCCATTACCATTTTTTATAGCTGCTATGTCCAGAATAAATGGTTAGGAAAAGCCTGTCTTCATACCCAACCAGAATTTATGCATGTTAAACTGTATCTCTGATGTAAAGGGAGTCAAACACAGGTGTGACCATATTCAGTTGATGTCCAGTTACAGAATTGACAAATGGGAATTTTAAAGCAGAGTATTTCAGTTTTTGTTCATGGATATGTGAGTAAACATGACAATTGGAAAGAAAATATGTATCCTGTTGAAGGAAGGAGAAACTTTTTTCTTAAGGGGCATTTGGAAAAAAATCAGATAGTTGGTAAAAGGAAACAGTATTCAATTTGAGCAGTGGCAAGGGAAGTGGAGTGAGGAATGATTTTCTTGTCATGCCATAACACAAAATCGTTATATTAATAATTAATAATCTGTTTTTGCAGAGTCAACACAGCATATAGACAAGTGTCCTTAGGCTAAAGAGACACAGAGAATATTAGTTCTTCTGGGGGAGAGAATAGACATTATAGAGTAAATGGTATTTTCTGTGTTTTGGATTGTCTGTTTTGTTTCATTTTTAGTTTAAATGAATACTAGAGGGTCAGTGACAAAAACCCAGCTAACTAGTTATTACTGGTGGTAGGATGCTTGTGTGTTATGTTCTTTTTTCAGGCTATGGGTGTGTATCTCTATGGTGAATTAATGGTGAATGAAGATGCAAAGCAACAAGAACTTGCACGGAAATGCTTTGCTGCAGCACAAGAACATATGGATGCATCCTCAGCCAAAGTGGTGGCAGAGATGTTATTCTGAAAAGGTGATTTTTCATTTTAATCCTAATACCCTGATTTTGCTTCATATAGAAAAAAAATATGCAGAGCTCAGTGAACGTGGTAAACTATGGCATACCATACAACTTGTGGCTGCTTAGGCTGAGAAATAACTCTTGTTATATGTCTTGTTGGCTTGTTTTTTTTTTTCTTTTTCTTAAGCCCAGCAGCGGGAGCAGTGAGTTACATACATGTAGGCATAGCTGGAGAACGTGGAGAATGGCTTTGTTGTAATGGACTATACAAGAGGCAACTGTAAGTCCAAATGGCCAAAGAAGGCCAGGCTCTGCCTACAGTTGTTTCCCATCCTGTATTCCTAACTCTGCTTACAAAAGTTTCAATTGTGCAAGGACCATTTCTGTTTAATAGAGCTGCGTTTTGACTTGACAGGCAGCATAGTCTTTGAAAAAAAGCCTGATCCCACAGTGGAAATATGAAACTGTGGACTTGGAAGCAAATATCGTGTGAGAACTAGCTGATAATTCAGGTTTTTTTGTGTTAAGGGTATGAAGGTTTTGAAGATTGATTATGAGGTAAGAAAAGTAGCCTTAACAGGAAGAAGCTAGCTTGTTTATGAAATTCAAGGAGCGGAATCACCAGAAAAAGCTGAATTGCAAAAATATTTATGGGAATGATGATTGCCATAGGCTATAAATTTGCAAAGATACTTTCCAATTCTCTGTCTGAGCAGTTGGAGGTAGCCTTACAGTGTATGCACATGCATGTTTAATGTATAACCCATTAAGATTTGTATGAAAGTTTCTTAGAGTACAGCATTTTTGGTTAATCAAATGACTCATCCTACAGACTGATTGCTGTGGTTGTTCACAAACTTTACAGCTGATTTGTGGTATCAAAATTCAGTCTTCTAATTTAGCAAAAAAAATTGTCACCTAATTGATACCAAGGAAAAATCTTAATTTTCTTCTGTTCTAGCAGTACTAGAACTGTGAGTTCCGCTTGGTTTTGTAGTGGTTTTTTGCTATGTTTATATGAAATACAGCCAATGACAGATACTATGAAAGCAAATGTGATTATGAAAAGCCATGTTGTTCTTCTGTATAGACAAGAACTGTGCCTGCCAAGAAAACTTTTTGGGAAAGGTGAATCAGACTGTAGAGTGGCAGGATATCAGTGGTGGGGTAGGAGAGACACCTTTTAAAACAGAGCTAAAGAGACTCTTTAGTGTACTCCCAATTATCAAGGACTCATAGGAATTTGATTTATGTTCAACAGTTCTTAATCTTAATCTGGTAGGTGTCTTCAAGTGTCTGAAGGCCAGAAACAATAAAATCAAAATTTCTACAAGTTTCTGATGGTAAGTATCTAGCACAGGAAAATTACATGGTATGCAGGTGTTAGCAATAGTCTAGAATTACCCCTTTGACTTTACAGAGTGGAAGTGCATGGTTAGCTATAACATAAAACCTAAAGATACTAAGTACAATACTCTGTGTAACTACACAGCTTTCTTTTAATGTTATGGCTGTTTGGGTTCCTGGCATGATGATTTGTGACTTAAGATTAAAATCACATTGCCAGGGATTACCACGCAGCCATGACCACAGCTGCTAGCATGAAACTCACCATTAACAGTCTGATGGGTGCACAGCGTGGAATCCTCTCCATCTATCAAAAAACAAACAAAAAACACACATACACCAAAACAAAAAAAAAAAATAGAGAGAGGGAGAGAGAAGCAAACCCCCAAACCCACCAAAAACAGAGGAAAGCAGCAGAGCATCATGGAAGAACCTCCTCCGAAAACTATCTCTGCTGAGACCAAGATCTCTCTGGTGAGGTGCAGAGCTTAGCTGATTGGTGAACAGTGATTGTTTTCCTCTTTGTTCACAGTGGCTAAGTTCTGCACCTGAAGAGAAGGGAGAGGAGACTCTCTGCAGGGCAGAGAGCGTTTGCTGGCTGAGATCCCTTGCTGCTGAACGGGCAGATTTGTGATGAAGGCATGTGTCCGAGGCTCAGTGTATGGAGAATAAGACGCAGAGGCAACCTGGGAAGGACCAAAGACTTTTAGTTGTAGTTAAGAATAAACAGTGCCCCTTAAGTTCTCAGTCTGATTGCAAATGTAAGGCATTGCCTGCAGTAATTTGGTTACCATGCTTTCCTAAAGGTCAGAGTAAATAACATTTGTGACTTTTAACTGAAATTGTCAATAAAGATTTTGTTTTCTCTTTAATGGATACTGTAATGATCCTGTCTGAGCTAAGTTGTAGCTTAGCACTGTGTGTCGTTTGCAGGAAATGGTGGCAGCTCCAGTCGGAAACAACTTACAGCTGCTGCTGTTGTTCCAGGCTGTTGATGGACCCGTCCTCCGGTGCCTACTGAGCTGATATCAGTTCTGATTTTACACACTGGCTCAGTTCAGCAGGAACAGGAGTCGAGCCCTAGAGCAAAAAACAAGATGTACCTTTCCTAAGAGCCTTTGAGAAATGTTGTTGCTGTTTTCTCTCAAAAATGAATCAGTACACCTTATGTCCTGATGTTAGACACTAAATGGCCTAAGGTGGAAAAGCTACCTCAGTACTGTTTAAGAGGACTGTTGGCTAAAGATGAGAAGGTATGTGAATATGTAGCACATCACACAGTATTGCTCTGGTAACTTGCCTCCAACATTATTTTCAGAGAAACCTGGTAATAACCAAAAGATTATTGCTTCCACCATGGATCCCTCCCTGTCTTCTCCAGACCTTGTTGTGGTAGCTTTAGGAAGCTAAAGAGATCATTGTTAACTCTGTAGCTACAGTTAGACTGTGCTGGTGACCTAAAATATAACTCAATTTGGAAAGCTGGGGCAATCAAGAATGCAGAGATATTCCTTCGTTGTGACAGAGTAATAACTTTAAACGCTGTTTCCGTTGCAGGAAAGATCACAGACAACTCTTTTAATAGATCTTCTGCTAAACTCCGATGGTACTAGGATTTCATTGACCCAGGACATCAAAGGAAGGATTATGTGACTGCTAAAACAATCAGCTGACAGAAATATTTACCTTTCTGTATTTCTAGAGGTCCACCGTAACTGAGAACGCAAGACAAACTACACACACATGAGTTTCTCTGGGTCTAGGTAATTCTTTGAAACAAGAATTTTGGGATTTATCCTTGTGCTTTGGTAATACAATCATTCTGGTTTGCAGATGCCAAAGATTCTTGATTTGAACAACTTTATTAATTTGGGCATTCTGAAAATGGATGGAGCTGTATTGTGTACTTAAAATTTTGTTTGTAACTTCTATGTCATATTTATAAAACCTCAGTGTGAAATCAGCAGGGGCTGGGGTGGGGCTTGTAAGATTAGATAGAAGCAGAAATAAACTGTGGAAAGTTACCTGCTATCCTCCTAGTGATGGGGTGGGACTGAAGAAAAAACAAAGATCATCATGCTCTCTCTGTCATGTTTAGGTGAAATTTTACTAGAAGTGTCAGACCTCCCATTTTCTGAAAGTGTCTTTCGTACTTTTGTGATACTTATTTTGCAATGATATCTCAAGTGTATCCTTTCCTGATCAATGAATCTCTACATTTTTAGAAGACATCTTCATTGTTCCTTTCAGAGAGTAAGAATTTAAACCAAAAAACAAAAATCTGTGAACTTATTTCCCTTGTACTCTATTGTTTTATATCAAATCCTCTTTGATAATAATAAAATTATCAAATTTTTTTCGAGTATATATAGTCTTTCCATTGCACTGTGATTCAACATTATTTTAAAAACATGGGAAGAAGAATTACTTCATTCCTTCTTTTGCAACAGGAGAAAAGAACCTGGAACTCATTACTTAAGGGATGTTAATGAGAAAAAATAAATTAGGTACTTTTTAAAAGTTCTTAGAATCTAAAGTAAAAGCCTGCCTCAACATTGTCTTCAGTACAAAGAGTACAGTTCCTTTTCACATCACCACATTTTCTGACCTTCCCCTTGGCAGGCATAGTGTCAAATCCTGAATTAAGGGACACTCAGCAAGTTCTTTCAAATGCAGCAAGAGTTAGGAAATTGTCCAGGCAGGCACTGAGACACCACAATGACTTCTAATGTAGTGACTCTCAGAGACGTAGTTATTACAGGATCCTATTCATAACAGAGTTACACTTCATTTCACAGGTTTTTCTGCGAATCCCAGCAAAAGAAACCAGCTTGCTTTTTGCCTTTTTCACTGTGTAAGGAAAAAATGCAGAGCTGGATAAGACTCTTGCACAAAATATGCAGAAATTAAGTACATTGTAGGCCTCTTCGTAGCCAGTACTGTTAAAGCTACAGGGCAAATAAGATAATACACGTTTTTAAAATAGCACCAAATATTTCTTCTTTCAAAACAATCTACTTGCCTTTTTTATTTTAATATTGAGCACAGCAGTAGTTTGCTACAGCTTCTACAGTCGGCTTCAGCAGCTTTAACTTGAACATTTCCCCGCACTACGACGTCGTCACCCATCATGCGTGGTAGAAACTGAGAAAAGCAACAGAAGATAAAACACAAACACCAAAATACCTAAAAGATGACAAAGAGGTGGCAGTCCTGGCCCTTCATCAGTGCTTATGGGGCCTTTTGTTGCTAATCCAAGCATTGTGATATAGAGTGAGGCTCCAGATTAAGAAGAAAGCTGAAGGTGGCATTGAACAGTTATGGTCACCATAACTCATCAGAGAGTACAGGAGACTCACATATGTATTGTTTAGTATGGTCACTAACATGATATAAACATTGCCCTTAGTTTAAAATCCTTCTGACTCATGCAATAAGCATTGGAATGGAACCATATAATTATTTACAGGATCACAGAATAATATGAGTTGGAAGGGACCCACAAAAATTATTGAATTCAGCTCCTTGCCCTGCACAGCACCAGCCCCAAGAGTCACACCGTGTGCCTGAGAGCATTGTCCAAATGCTTCTTGAACTCTGTCAGGCTGTGTCAACCTCCTCCCTGAGGATCCTGTTCCAGTGCCCAAACACCCTCTGGGGGAAGAACCTTTTTCTAATATCCAACTGAAACCTCCCCTGAGACACCTCCAGGCCGTTCCCTCAGGTGCTGTCACTGTCACCACAAGAGGAGAGATCAGTTCCTGGTCCTCCCTTTCCCCTCATGAGGAACTCGTACCTGCAGTGAGGTCTGTCCTCAGTCTCCTCTGGGCTGAACACACCAAGTGCCCTCAGCTGCTCCTTGTACAGCAAACCAGCCCCCAGCACTGGAGGTGAGGCTGCCCCAGCTCAGAGCAGGGCAGGACAATCCCCTCCCTTGCCCAGCTGTGATGCTGTGCCTGATGCACCCCAGGACAGGGTTGGCCCTCCTGGCTGCCAGGGCACTGCTGACCCATGGTCAACTTGCCAGGACCCCCAGGTCCCTTTCCATGGCCCTGCTTACAGCACCT